ACACCGCATGCAGCAGTAACCAAAAACGACAAGTAACGCTCAACGCGGAAAATGTTTATCCGAGCGAAAAAAAAATTATGAAAAATATATACATATGTAAAAAAGATACCGTAGGCGTTGCTCGTGAAGTCCGATAATGAAAGGCAAAAGCAACAAGAAAACATTCGAAACTAAATGTTCAACAGCAAAGTCATTAAAACAAAAACCAACACAAGCAGCGGCCATGAATCAGTAATGAGAAAAAAAAAGGAGCGACAAAATTGTTTGACATGAGAGACAAGGCGAGATTATGAATAAAATACAAGGGCACACTTCCAAAATCAAATCGAGCTGCTTTGACACCATTTCAATATTTCTTTTTTCACAGTACGTAACTGTGAAAAAAGAAACATTGAAATGGTTATCAGTTATCAGAGCTCTGCGAGTTATGAGTCGCTTCCGCTCCCAGATTTCAGTCTGTGCGCGCGTGTGCATTCTACAAACCGTCGCAACAACAACAAAAAAAGCATGACCAGAAGGACGATGAGGAGTTGTGCATGGCGGTTTCTTTCTTTGCCGCTCCCTTTCATTTTGCTTAGTGCTTGGTTTCTTGTTTCACACTCGTGTAACGCCATCGAAACCCGACGCCTGCGCGTCCGTGAAAGGCGCCACGTTAACCCCCTTTCCCTCTTTGCTCTTTGCTTTGACGCTTGTTTTTTTGTATTGCATTTTTTTTTTGGCGTATAAGTCTGTTAGGGCTCCACGCGGGCTAGCAGTTTCCCGCTCATTTTATCTCTGAGCAACTGACTCGCTCACTGGCTCGGCTTAGCTGACAGCAAACACACAAAAAAAAAAAAAAAAAAAAAAAAGAACCGCGCTTATTTCATTCTCATTCCATTCCGGGCAAAAGGCACCTAATTCCATTCCCATTCCATTCTCCTCAACGTTGCCGCCATTCCATTCCCATTCCATTCCGGGGTCGTGAAAATGCGGAATGATTCCGGGAATCATTCCAACTCCGGAGTGGCAACTCCGCAACACTGGTGCGCAGCAGCGCGAATGGTTTCGCAACCGTTGCGAGGCCTCTATCGCCTAAAGTGCGACTGCGTCAGGCGATACAGATTCCCTTGTGAAAGAAGAGCAAATCGCTCGCCTGGAAAGCCACCGCCGAGAACAGAAGCTACAGCTCCGCTGCTCTTCCTTCTTTACCAATGTGGTAAGGCTAAAAGATATTTTTTCCCCTTATGACTGTCATTTGGTGTAAGTTATATCAATTACACGCGTAAAGAAAGATTTTTCCATTAGGAGGAAAAAGCTTGCAATGCTTGCAACGCTGCTCCCCTTCTTAGGGGAGCAACGTTTTCTCCACGAGCAAACATACGTGGCAACTTTACTCGCTTCTTAGGGGAACAAAATATCTTCCCTGTTTTGTAAGAGCAACTTTCCTCACCTTCTAAAGGAACACAAGGGCCACATAAGTTCCTCCTTTAAGGGAGGAAATACAACTCCCATTTTAGAGTTCGTTTTATACCGTGTACTCGCTCACAGCTCGGTTCGCTCTGAAGGTACTCAGCTATATAGCATTTCAAGAAAACCATAATAAAGTTCCAGCCCACTATGTTTGCATAAACTCTTCAAGTTAAGTACAATGTAGGAACTACATCCACCAGACTTTGCAATATACACGAACTAAACCCTGCTACGTCACGCCGCCATGGGGGCGCGTCGGGCGCACTTCCGGTCTGGGGCTGTGGGCGGAAGTAACTGCGCGAGACATGCATTCCTGGGTTCGTTTAGAAGAAACCAGACAAGAAACCTGCCTTCTCGTCTGAACGCCGCGACGGGCGCCGTACCAAAAGAGTCTGGAAAAGTTTGAAGATCAGTTTTAATGTGTCTTTGGCCTCCTCCGTTTGCCCGAGAACGTGGATAGTAGCCGTGAAAAGGGCAAACCATACGCTGCCGAACTACGATTGCTTGTGTGGGAAAAACGTTGGGTTGAATTCACGAACACTTGTACTTGTCAGATTTATTTGGTTATTTCCAACATGAATGAAGGAAAACCGCCAAGTTGTCCGGACCCTCCGGACCGGTTCAGTGCGTCCTCAAATATAAACGGCCTCCTAATCGGTAGAAATGTCGTCTGCTCTTTCAAACCTGTTTGCTTTTTGTCGTCTGCTCGTTCAAACAAAAGTAGCTTGTAGATGAAATGTTGACCCGGTGATTGCGATAAGAAGTAATTTCAGGCCTCAAAAGACTTTTAAGTAGGCTCGGTGTAAATAGTTGATACAAGGTGTTGATTAATGGTACCAGTGGCCATCACCGACTTGTTACGCCTGATTCATTTGGTCCGTTTCCGCTTCTGATTTTCAGTATTGACGTCGATCATTGCAGCTACCATCTACACTTCTGCATAACGAGCGACGTCGCCACCGAAAATAGCCAGAAGAATCTTATCATGGTTTTGGCGTCCATTCTGTGGCGTTCACGCGAATGAATCGCTGCACGTCAGGATATTTACGCAAAGTTTTTCGGCGTAACGAGCCTTGGTAATTTCGCTCAGGTGATTGAAGTGGTAAAACATATGAGGACGTGGAATCGACGATTCTGACACGAAAGAAAACACGGAGACTCACAAAGACGCCGACAACGTGACATTACAATGGTTGGTTGACGCTGGACGCTGTGCTTCTTGCCCACACTACATTCCGCATGCGTTCGAACTGTCGTCTGCTTGTCTGCTTTTTGCAGAGTGCTCGTTCGAACGACAGCGCCCCGTAGGCCATATGTTGAGCCGGTAATTGCGATACGAAGAAAGTGCAGGCCTCAAAAAAGTTTTAAGTTTGAAGGTGGGTTGGGGTTAGTAGGCTCAGTGTAAACAGTAGATACAAGGAGATGTTGATTAATGTTACCAGTGGCCAACACCAACTTGTAATGCGCATTTCCGCTCGCGATTTTCAGTATCGATGTCGATCATCTCCGGTACGGTCCATGGTTTCGCAGTCCGAGCGACGTCGCGAATGAAAATAGCGAGTAGAATCTCATCGTGCGAGTGCAGGCTTTAGTGACCATCCTGCGGCGTCCACGCGGAATGAATCGCCGCACGTCAGATTATTCACGCGAATATTTGCGGTGTAACGAGCCTCGTTAATTTTGTTGAAGCCCCTCAAGTAGTCAGACATTGTTAGGACGACGTAGAATCAACATTTTTAACGCGAAAAAGAGCCCAGGGACTCACATGGCGCCGACAACATCGCCTTCCAATGGCTTGTTTCTGGGAGTCGGCAAGCTTCGTTTCCATACTCTATCGCAGATGCGCGGCGCCGGTGGCGCCCGCTTAGCAAGCTCAGGTTGGTTTGTAAACATGGGTTGGTTTATAGCAGGGGTCTCAAACACGAGGCCCGCTGGCCGCATACGGCCCGCGACTCACTAGAACGCGGCCCGCAGGAATCCCGCGGCTGCGAGCCCCCTTCTCGTCTTCAAGTACTGCAAATGACTTGTACCTTGAAAGTCTAATATTGTTGCTCTATTTCCTGTAAGTCAGTGTTTAGTTTTCAGCTTTCTTCCCACCTTTTTTTATTTCAGTCGCCTGTGAGACGATCTTTCTACTAGCCTACAAGCGCGGGCTTCTTGCTCAAAGACACACCTCGGATGAAAAAGCTTTTACACAGCAGGAGTAACTCTCAAAGCTTATGAGCTTGCGCGTCTCACCTTCACTTGTGCATGTTGTAAGTTAAAATAATGAATAGGCGGCCGGAAAATAACACACAAATGCGAGAAATAATTATAATAATGCTCCTATAAAAATCGCTAGGATAGTAAAAGCAATCGCATAAAGAACACTAATTTTTTTTTCATAATGTTGAGTTTGTCTAATTTACGGGTGAGTCGAACGATAGGGCAACGACGGTATGTCACCTAGTTCAAGCGGCGCCATTTTACATTTTCTCGCCCCGTCAGGTATTTCTCCAAAGTAGTCACATAAACTATTCAAATCTAAAGATGTCGTTGTTAGAAACGGCAATTTTACAAGCAGCATACAGTACGAGGTCAATATTTTATGATTTCTGGTAGAGAAAGCTGCTCTACAACGTGGACCTCCAGAGTTATTTTTCTTTGCCGTAAAATATCCCCCCCCCCCCCCCCCCCCCCCCTCCCCTTACTTTTGCCCTTGACCTTTCGAGATTCAGACTTTCGGCCTCCAAGTTCCAATGAGTTGGAGACGCCCATAACCACATTTGCGTTTCTACGCGTTTTAATATGGAATGGCGTCCTTGAGGCGGAAAGCGGTTGCTGGAGGAACAAAGCGCGTCTTCGCGGAACGCCCCGCAGCGCGACTTACAAAGCGGCTGCGCTTATCGAGCGATGCGGAGACCTATCAGAAACCAAGAAAAGAAAGGGCGGGTCACGTGCTGGCCCGCGCCCGTCAGCGACGTCGTGCATCCGGTTCTCCGTTGGGAGATGGATCCAGTTTTGGCATGTTTGGGAAAGGGAGGGGGTAATACGGGATGGGTCTATCCCGAGGCGACGATGGTTCAAGATGGAGAGGACTCGCGGATGTCATCGGGATCTCCTCTAAAGACCAGCCACGTCCACGGTGTGGCCGGGTGGCGCCATAATTCTGTGAATTTTGCCTCCTATTGGTGAGCCGACAGTCATGGTAGTGGGTCCTAACTAATCACTGACTGCGGTCATATGCTCTCCTCAACGTTCTGCAACCACTTACCTCTACGGAACGCACCGCGCTCGAACGCAAATGTGTTTATGGACTTTAAAAGTTTCAGATGGGATAGCGATAATATGCTGCCGAGAACTAACGTCTAACAATCAATTTCAGTGAACTGTTGACAATAATTGAAAACAAAAGTCGGTGATTATTATTTCAAAGAACCAATGAAGTTTGGGTGGCAAGCGTTCATATATTATAAGAAAAATTCTCAAGCGGGCTGAAGATGACATGTCATTGAAAGGCTCTAAAACATCATATCGTGACTGCAGAAAAACATAATTGTATATGTACTCACATTGTGCTTGTAGAAGCGCGAAAATTGCCCAAACTAGCTTCATCGCAGTCTGTTGAGGATCTCTAAATGAGAGTACCACTGTTCTCAGGCATTTATATCGGAGGGGTACTAAATATGAAACTAGTTGGATGGGGTGAGTGCAGACGTGATACTTATCTTAGAGGACGATAAGCATAAGTAAGAAACATTTGGTAGCAGTGGTGTAAAGGTTTTTGTAGAATAATATTTTGGAGGACTCACGTTGCGCAGAAGTTTCGCGTTTAAATCTGCAGCGAATACTGCTCATCATAAAGCGGAACTAAATTTGACATATCTGTGAGGAGTCGGCTAGCAGGAACAGAGCAGCAGCGATAATGATGTCTGTCGCGCGCTTGCCCATTCGTGATGCAAGAACAGCGACAAGATTGATAAAACTTGAGTTGTGCTGTTGCTTAAGACGTGCAGTTACGCTTATTGATCCTAAACTTGACCTAGTGAGTATTTCATGGTGTTCGTGGAAGGATATCATGAACGTACTAAAACTAAACGAGGGACAAAGCGTGCCGAGACTGTTGAATGTAGGGACCCAGGCTCGTTGACAGATATTCATCCTACTTAAAAGCCCGAATCAGCGATCAATTTATCTAACCCACGCACGTGCACATCCAAAGACTCAATGCCGACTTGTGCTCGTTACATGTAAATCAACATCAATTGTAAATGCAACTGACTGGGCTTTAAATGCAATGACCCAGAGTTCCTAATTTTCCACGGAGCCTAGTTTTGGGTCAGAAGTTGTTCTTTGTGTTTCAATTTAGGGCCCTAAAAGCACCTGCCCGCCCCCCCCCCCCCCAACCCCCCCCGCCCCCTTGAAAAAAAAAAGAAAAATAAATGTATAATTTTCTTTGGTATTGTTTGTCCAAAAAAATTTTTTTAACCTAAATTAAAAAAAAAGAAGTGCAAGCGTTAGGCTTGATTTCCGCGGTGTTTGTTTTTCACTTGTCTTGTTTGTGGCTGACTTACCGAGGAAATACAGTAAAGTATATTTCACCTCTGATTGATTAATTATGAACTAGCTACACTTAGGCCTAAATCGCAAAACCAGCGCGAACATTTGACTTCACTGCTGTTTGTTCGTTCGGTACGTAGCGCTTTTTGCTCATGTCTCGGACCTCGTCATTTTTGCGTTGAACTGAAAAGTATAAAAAATGCAAAGAAAATAACTTCTAAACTTTCAATCTCCTTCAGGCAAATACGATGTTACGCCTAAGTCGGGCCCATTGGGTTATGAAATGTGGGCAGTTACGTGTTTCTCTGCTGTGCTGCCCGGCTGCGTTCGTCAAAAATAATTTTGGTATGCAATAAACATAATGTTAGAAACTTTCGATCGCCATGTTACGTTGCGTATGAATGCCCCAATGATTTATAGAAAACGGTACTATATTTTAAGAAATGCATGCAATGCTGCTTCCAATTTTCCGCATTGCCAACGTCCATCTTGAATATAGTTTATTAGTACCGACGTAGGTTGCTACCACAATTCACCTGATTAGTTGCCGGCATTATAATAAATACATCCTTTGATCATTCTGACAAACCCGAATAGCACGTAATGTGCGGAGCGCCCATTACGGCCGTGTTTTGATTTGTTATGCTTACTTATGGGGAGCTTTGGGTGCTTTCGGATGCGTTGCACAAAGAACTCACTTAAGTTGTTCCAGGCTTAATCAGTACCATCAGGACAAGTCTAAATTTAAGCAAGAGTGGAGTGTGCAAGGGGAATTGTTAGCCTCTGTTTTAGAAATGCCTTATTTAAGTCTTGCCCTCACAGGGTGAAAGAGAGCTTCGACACACAAGCATCAAGGCTCAGATATGCGGGATATCCGTCTTACCTGCTGACGACAGTTGCTGAGAGCCTACTTAAGAAAGCACGTGACGAAACGACTTAGCAGGCTGATAGGGTTCACAAAAAAGTAACCGTTTTACCATACCTGCACAAGATCTCGCACAACCTAAAGAAAGTTGGCCTAAGGGTTGTGTTGATGTGTTTTATTTTCGGCTGCGGAAAAGCTGTCTGGGCTGTGCGAAAAAGTGAGCCCCTGTTCTAAAGAAAAGCAGGGTTGCACCAAAAAGCACCACGACCGATTCGTGAACTGTGTTGAGGGAGTGGTGTACTCTATTCCCTTCTCGTGCGGCAGGAGATACGTCGGGCCATTGGGGCGCTGCCTCAATGATCGCTTGCGAGAACATAAGTATAACGTTTTTAGAGTTGTGTCAGGTCACCTTGGCCTGCATTGTGGAGACTGCTGCTGCACTCCCGTCTTCAACAAGTGTAAAGTGATTAGGAAAAATAAAGACAAACTCACTCGAGAAATCATTCAGGCGCGGGAAATCGGAAAATTGGGGGAAAATTATGTCAGCACTCCTTCAATATGTTTATCCGAAAATGAATGTTGCTTTCTAGACACACAGTGACAGCGAATAACGGTGGCTAAGGAGCACGTGGCGTCCATTAGATGTATTTTATTTTTGTTTGTTTGTCATGACGATACAGTATTTATACTTGACGTTAGCATGAATAAACTTTAGTTGGAAGTCAGCGCCTTGTTCGTCTACCTTCTTGTTCTTGTCCGTGTCCATGCGCTGTTTTAATTTGGAAATAAATAAACACCGAAAAACATCCGCCAACTTTTGACATAAATAAACGCCTGAAAGTTTACAGCCTTGTTATAATGCTGCCCACAAATGCCGTTTAAAATAAATTATGGCACTTACGGGCAAGTTTAGGAAGCTTTGCTGAATATTCCCCTTCATCAGAAGTCCTACAGAAAAGGTGAGAATACGTTTATTGGTGAACTTAATCAAGCGGTTGCGCGGCGACGTGGCTTAGAGGTAGGACTCCGCCTAAAATAGGCCACCCAGACTTGTCGACTGAATTCAGTCGAACACAGAGTTCAGCACCCCGAACCTGCGTTCAGAATCCACCGTTGGCTTATTCCTGGACACGAGCTCCCAGTGGACGGTCGTTGGGATCGATCGTCGGGGCCTGTCAAATATCATACGACCAAACCCAGGTAGCTCCACAAACTTTGCGTCATACCTTGTAGGTTAGTATTCGGCGAGCATGTACTCAAGAAAAACATGCAGTTCAAGATCTCACAGATATAATATATGGTAAGTGCAAGTTTATGGAACGCATAAAAACATATTTTACAACGTTACGCCAGATAACCCAAGCACCATAAATATTTCCATAATCAGTTCCGAAAGCCTTCCGTTAGGCGCACCTCGAGAAAAAAATACATCAGCATCCAACACACGTTGTCTAAAGTTCCGAGGATATTGCCCGACCCTGTGAGCGCAAACACAACTTCAGCGTTGTTTCAGATTTTCTTTGAAAATAAACAAGTGGGAATCAAAATTTAGCATTTAGGTTATTACCATACCTCGAAACGTTCCTCAAATTTAGTGGTTTTAATAATAGTCCTTTATTACTGCGAGGAAAAAACAAGCAAAAACAAACGGCAGTGGCTCGTTTGCACTAACACTAGAACTGACGTGACACTGTTCCGCACTCTTAGAAAAAAGGGTCAGTATAGTCCTCCCTAAAGGGAGGAACGCTCTTGACACATATGTTCCTTCAGAAAGGGAGAAACTTTCGTCCCTTAAGCAGGGGAGGAAAAGTTCCTCCGTCGACTGCATCTCATTATGGCGGCCACGAATCGAGCAAATCGAGCTCGGTAAGGCTTAACGAGAAAACGAAGTCTATTGCACGAAGCGAGAGGAGCAGGAAATAAAAACGTAACACGAGCTTTCCGCGAACTGTATTTATTTCCGAAGTTTCTTTACCCCTGCAGGTAAAGAAACTTACGTTTCGAAAGCATGCAGTCACTCAGTCTGCTCATCGTCAGCACTGGGATGTTCAACGGAGACAACCGGCACTCAGTTCGCGCACTTTATGTCCTACCTTTGCTATTCCTCGAGCCACAATTCCTTCGTCAACCGTTGCGTCAATCGCACATCACGGAGGAGTGAAAATCATTCGCCCGCAAAACCAAAAGTTGCTCTAAAAAAAAAAGCAAATCCGAAGCAACCTCTTGGCTTATCTCAGCACGGTAACACGAAATTATGGCGTAGCCGCGTAGCGTAAAAGGATGTTAAATCGCTTGCCACCAGATGGCAGGGTCAAGCAGAGTAATCGCACGTAGCTAGGCTATGTGGCGCTAGATACCGCCCAATTCATGTTTTACAAAAAAATATTTTTTTATTTTCTTACGCCACAATCGCGTTTCCTTTTCTTCGGAATCTCTAACACATGTAGACACGTTGCGCACACTGGAAACTTCAGGTCAACATATATTGAACGCATACACAGCCATCGCACATACAAACATCAATACAACAGCACACTACCCCAATCACTACTACCGAGCCCTGCGTTTCCGTCTTTTATAGTGGTCATTTTGAACGTACGGAATTTTTCGGTGACTCCCTAAGCATAAAAAAATATTCCGAACATGTTCATTTTTTTCCAGCAATGTCATACATCTGAGGCTATTTTTAATGGATCAGGGGATGAATCTCTTATTAAAAAGAAGACGCTCGATCATGCCATAATTATTTGAAAGCCAATAAATCGAGCCGCTCCAATGTGGTTCCAAGCCATGAGTTTGTTTTCCCGCATGGCCCTTCGTAGCCAGTATTTATATTGTAGTGTTCGTTTTTCTATTTGTGCTATTCGCGCAAAGCTGCAATTGCCGTCTTGAATTAATCTCTGCAGAGCGGATATCCACTCAGCTGGAAGTGATGCTTCACGGGCACAGAAATCGCTTTTCGATCAACTTGAATGCAGTCAAAGCCGCGACTTGCGACAACTGTTAAGTGTACGGAGCTGCGCCGTTGCGAGCTCGAAAACTTCTAGCGCTCATCCCAGCGCGCCACTTAGAGGGCAGTTTCTACAGGAACCGTAATATATTTAAACAGTAAAATAAAGGATAGCGTTTTCTGTTTTTTTTTTCGATTTTGCCTGTCTTTTTTTTTATGCTAAACTTCCAGTATAAATAT